TACTGCCATTTACAATAACATGGATGGACCTCGAGAATATTTTGCTAAGTGAAATAAGTCAGTCAGAAAAAACTCAAAACTATATGATTTCACTCATATGTGGGATATAAAACTGAAACTCGTGAACACAAACAGCAGTGTGGTGGTGCCAGAGGGAAGGGAATGGAGAATAAAAGGGCCCTACTATATGGTGACGGGAGAAGATTTGACTTTGGGTGGTGGCACACAGTGCAATATACAGATCTTGTAACATAGAAACCCACACCTGAAACCTGTATGATCATATTAACCAATGTCACTCTAATAAATGTAATAAAAAAATTTTTATTAAAAATAAAATAAAATAGCAAACTTTTTTTCAGTGATATCTGGTACAAATAATTCCCCCAGTTTTTCATAAGTTTTTAAATTTTAACAGTTCTTCTTTTGCCATATCAAAATATTCCTTTTCATATAGTCAAATGTATCTGTATTTTCATTTATATCTGTCTCTGGTGTTATAAACTGTGGTATTATTATGAAAGATTAATCAGGAATCTTGAGTATTATTAGTTAAGCATCCCCTGTGCCAAGCCCAGCACTACCGAGCCTTTCCATTTTAAGAAAAACAAACCTAATTTCATATTTCAAAACAGGAGGCAGACAGCCTTCCTCCCATCCCCTTAACCCTTTATTTAAGTATAAAGAAACACTAGTGTTTACATCCCAAATTCATGGAAAATCTTCTCATGACAGAATTTCTGATGTGATACACTAGACATCTATATATATAAAAGCCTAAGTGACTATTACGGCAGAACAACCAGAACGACTGGTTGCTATGATGCTCACTGACCACCAGGGAGCAGACACTCAATGCAGGAACTGCTCCCTGGTGGTCAGTGAGCTCCCATAGGGGGAGTGCCACTCAGCCAGAAGCTGGGCCCATGGCTGGTGAGCGCAGCTGCGGTGGCAGGAGCCCGTCCTGACTCCGCGACAGTACTACCAAGTGGTGGTGGCAGGTGCAATGGGCCAGGATGACCGCGAGCGGCGTGGTGCCCAGCGCCAGTTTAGGCTCCTTCCTGGCTGCCTGCCACTTGGTGCACTGCTACTCCCCCAAAGGGGTCCCAGACTGCGAGGACTGCGAGGAGAAAGAAAATACCTGGGTGCATTAGAGGGAAACTACAAAAAACAAAACAAAACAAAACAAAACAAAAAAAGAAAGGCAGAGAACATATTAAAAACAGACAGAAGAAAACCGGCAGGCGGACATCCCCAGAGTAATCCCAGACTGCAAGAGGGCACAGGCCGGGCTGAGGGACCCTCCCTTCCATGCACGAATTTCATGCACTGGGCCTCGAGTTTCTAATAATTCTAGCAATGAGGAACTGGGGGGGGAAAAAGAAGGATGTGAAAATGTGTTTGCTATTGCTAATTATGCCAGGACTCTAGGCCTGCCTGGCTGATACTCTTAACATCAGATCTTAACCAAATAACGTGACCACTGCAGACATTCATGGACATCTGACCAGAACAGTCTAGAACTCAGTCACACACTATCCCACCACCACCTTAGTCCACAAATATTGTCATTTTCCCTGCCATTCCACTCACTATTAATGAGTAGTAACCCATTGAGCCACCACCCATTAGGTAATAAATATATGGGAAAGTCAATTTTACTTAAATCTCACAAACTCAGAAAGAGATTTAATGTAACTGAAGAACTCTTCACTGTCGAGTGATGTACTACTTAAAAAAAAATACTATAGGAATAATAAAAAGCCAATTGGTTTAATGTAGTCATCACATGCAAAGATACAGATAAGATAAATATATGATTAAGAAATGTAAGGCCCGGCTGGCGTGGCTCAGTGGTTGAGCGTCAACCTATGAACCATGAGGTCACAGTTTGATTCCCAGTTAAGTCAGGGCATATGCCTGGGTTGCAGGCTCGATCCCCAGTGTGGGATGTGCAGGAGGCAGCCAGTTTATGACTCTCTCTGATCACTGATGTTTCTATCTCTCCCTCTTCCTCTCCCTTCTTCTCTGAAATCAATAAAAATATATTTAATTAAAAAAAGAAATGTAAGAATGTTTTACATTAATGTAGATATTATGGGCTTTGAGTTGTGTGACTGAGGCCTTATCAAGTTAAGATACAATCTGAAGAGGCATTCAAATGCCTGATAACAGAGAATGACTGTTTTTTTCTTTGTATATGAGTTCTACCCACATTTTCAAGACCAGCCCAAATTCAACCTTCTTTCCTTTTCTATCCTACAGCTTTTAGAATCTATACTACATATTCTAGAACATATATATAGGCTTAATATTATTCAATTGTTTTGATTCTGCCACTCTCGTCACCTCATTGAATTAAATATAAGTTCCATGAGAACAACCTGTGCATCCCCATGGCATTAAAGCAGTGCAAGGACTCCAGATGATTTTTTATTATTGTTAAGTTTTATTATACTTTTATTCCAGATGGTTTATGCCTCTTCTTATTCTGCAGAAGCCTAAACATGTGCTCATTAAATAATTTTTCTTGATTTCTGGGAACAGGTTAAAAAAGAGGTCAAGATGGCAGAAAGTATTGTGAGGGCACTTTTAAAACTTATTATAATGTAGAACAGGCAGTCCTTTAGTAAAAACAACAACACTGAGTATGTAAATGTTTTGACAGTTACTCCAGCTTTACAGATCTCCAAAAGCTACGGACGGATTATGTCCAGTTCTTTTCTTTGCATCTAGGCAGGCTTTACCTAATGACAATGGCTTCCAATATAAATTCCAGTGAACTCCAGGATTCCATGAGGCAGCTATAAAGTTGAACTGATGGATGGAATGGCCAAGTAGCCATGTTTAATTTGTGGCTGCTCCTCTCCAGGTCTTTGAGCTTTAGGTGCAAATGAAGACCTTTCTACTAATCAAGGAGAAGTTTGTCTTCTCTGAAGAACACTCTGAGGTCCTGAGGAATGATACACAGGTGCCTGTACAGAGGTCTGTCCCTAGTCCCAGAATGCCTGGCTAGCTTCTTCAAGGGGTTCGCTGCCTTCCAGAGAAATAAAACAATAATCAAAAGCCAGCTCCTCTACTGTTTTTCTTTCCTTTCCTTCTATTTCCTTAAGAGAGGTGGACAATGAGGGAAAGAAAAAGTAATGGTTTCACCAACTCTGGCTCTTGAACAACAAGGATTCTACCATGTCAGGGTCCATTAAACATAAAGGGTTTGTGCACATCTAACCTACTGTTTATCTAAATTTGTTAATAATTCTAAGGAAAGGAAATGGCACCAACTAACCCTGTAGCCCATTTCTTGATGAGTAGTTCCTTTGACTCTACTAGAATTCCAAGCCTTGTCATTAAAGCTCAGATAAAATGCTGAAAATGGTGAATCATTTTAATATCCTTATTTTAATACAACAGGGCTGGAAAAAAATACTTTCATAAAAATTAAGTTCAAATAATGAATCTCAAGTATTAGCACTCTCAACAAGCCATCCATCTTCTTAGGCTTGAAGTATCTTGGATTTCCTAAATTCCTCTAGACCCACCCAGCACTAAATGAAGAGAATGAGTAAATAATGTCTGAAGGTAAGAAATTTGGACCTACAGAATCTAATTAAATCTTTGGTACTAGCTATTGGTTGGTGAGACAGTGGGTACTTCAAGTTTCTAATCCCCAGGACAATGGTGATAACACTCCTCAAGGTGTTTGAGGATTAAATGAGATAGATAATGCAAGTCAAACATTCTCACAGTAAGAGGCAGAGTATGTGCAAAATAAACTAAGATTTTTTTTAAAAAAAACTGGTTTAATTAATATATATTTTTTAAAAAAAAAAAAAAAACTGGTTTAATTAATATATATTTTTTAAAAAGGAGTAGAGACAAGTTTTCATCAAATTTTCAATAATGACAGATAATGCAAAAGCTGCTGTATTTTTTTAACTTCAATATTTTTAAGGAATGCATTCACTTAAACACACGAATCAGTCCACAGTCTTTAACGGATCAAACAGGATATTATTTGTAATTATGCTTCAAAGGTAGTACCCTCACTGGCGGCCACTGGCGGGAACATGGGCGCAGGCAGTGGGAGGGCGCAAAGCCGCCACACACCTGTTTTCTCCGGGCGGAGGGACGCCTTCCCATCCCTCCCCGGGACAATGACAAGTCGCAGCGCGGACTCCGGGAGAAAGAGACGTCCGCGTGCGAGATACTTGGTGTCCGGTGCCCGCGCGGAAGGGGACATAATAGTCCGCAAGCAGCGGATGAGACCAGGGTGACCCCAGTTCCCTCTGCGCATGGAGGGGGGCCGGAGAGGGCGGACCCCGCCTTCCCCGACGGTGGGTTTGGGTCGCGGGAGCGGACC